GGTTTTATGCGGCTCAGCTACAGAGCTGCGGCCTGAGGAGGCCAACGGCCCACCATTGCTCCAACGCTCCTCTCTAAAAACACTGAAAAACCCCCACTCTTAAAGTTGTCTTAAGAAGAGGATGACCTGGGGAAGAATGCAAACCAGCAAGCAAACGTGGACAACCTCTGAGATGGCTGTGTGAGCGTGGTTCAGCACGAGGGGCGGCAGTGCCGGGCCGGGGGGAAGGTGCTGCCACAGCCCAGCCATGAGGAGAAGCCCTGTCCCCCTCACCCCCTCTCCCCCGCCACCCCACCATCAGGTTTTTATGAGCTGGGTCATGTCTCCCTCTCCACAGAGAGCCCGGCGAAGCGCCATGGGGACCTGTGGCAAATGCGTCCCCGCGTCTGCCGAGGCCCCTTCCCTTCGCGCCCCCGCCCTCCCGGCCCCGGGGGGGATCGCCTTTCTCTGATCTCTGTAATCTGCTCTGATCCCCCCGATCGCATTACTGCTCGCCCATCACCTGCACGTGCGCCTCTGCCCGCTCGCTCACGGCAGCCCTGCCAGCACGGGCAGCCCAAACCGGGAGCTCCTGCCAAGCCCTGCTGGAGTCTCACGGGGCTGAGGTGTGGGTGAAGGGGCTCCCCCAGCCCCTGTCACCAGCCCTGGAAGCGTCTCCAACGAGCACACTTGGCTCCAAGCCCGAGGATCTGGGCTAGGCAGCTCCTGGGGTAAAGAAAGAATTAGGCAAACTCCATCCGCCGCTCTGGACAGAGCTGCTTCTGCCCCACCTGAAGGTAGTTGAGTGTTTCCTGCCATTCTAAAGAGACTCCCCATAGAGTCCTTCAGCCACAAGCACCCACACCCCTGGCACTAGCAGATACTGAGGCAGCTCTAAGGGCAATTCCTATGTCTGGGAACAGTCTGAGAGTACTTGGACTCCCAAGGCTAGTATTCTCAGTCTGTCACACAGCTGAACGCCTCTCCAGATAAGCTTTGACATTCGGAGGCAACATCTGGAGGACTTAGACAAACTCTGAGACAGGGAGGCATTAAAATCAGTGTCCAACAACCCTTGCAACACCACGACATCCTCTAATCTAAAAGCATGTCCAGACCTTCTGCCAAGAACGGAAGGGCTGTGGGTGTTCGTACACTGAAGAGCGTTCCTCCTGATGCAAATACACCCCAAACTACGCACATGGGTACCGACACCTGAAAGTCTCCGTGGATCCTGGCATCTCTTGTGGCCGCAAACAAGGAAAGAAACTTCCTCCAGCCATGTCTAAGGAGAGAGGGGCCTCATCTGATCCTGCCTGTCCCATCCTTGTGATTCCTCAGTGATTTCGGCACCCGCTTGGGATCAGGCCCTGCAGCGGATTGGACATAGGAGGGGAAAAATCCTGTGATGTGTATTTGAGCATGTTATGGACAGGTCACGCTGAACTTACGACTTTTACCCAAATAAGAGTCAAGGACAAATCTGACAGGTCTTTGTGTCCAGTACTCAGTGCTCTGCTGTGGGATCTCCCTGTCACTGCGATTTCAGCCCTTGAACAACTCCAGCAACTCTTTGTCCTTAGCAAAACACCTCCCTCTCCACTTTGGTTTGCATTAGGTGGTAAAACGCATCTCAGCCCTTTTGCTGTAGGTATCCATTTACGAGCAGAGGGAGAGGGGCAGCCGAGGACTGGAGCCTGGTGGCTGTTTGGGCTTTGCAGCCAGCGTCACTGCCCTCTCCTGGGAAGGGAGGCTGCGAGGGAGGACCGCTGAAGCTGGGGGTGAAGAAACATCACTGGGAGTCCAGATCCAAAATGCTGGTTTGCTCCCAGCCTTATTAAATGCAAAGAATATGTGAGAGGAGGTGCCCAGGCCTATATGGTGACACATAACAGCCTAGTTTCCCTAGAAAATGAAACAAATAAGACATAGTACTTTATACGTGACTGTATCCATGCCCAATTTCAGCCCTGGTGAGCAGAAGGGTAAAGAGCTCTGTGGTATGAAGTTGCTACATAACTACTGAAAATGGGCGACCAAGGGAGTGAAAGCACTTGATTCATGCCCCTGTGAAAGGGAAAGGCTGCAGTGTGCTCCTGGGGCACTGGACACTGGAGAATCCAGAGGAGAGCATGCTGTTGAAACAGGGATCTGCATTAAACAGGGCCCAGTTTGCGGCTTGGCTGAGGGAGCAACCCATGGGACTGGGAGCAGGGCACGAGCTGGGCTGCGCCACAGCCCACCCTTCACATGGCCCCTGCCAAAAAACGCAAACTGCCAGGGGTGATGCCCAGTCAGGACTTGCGTCCCTTCTCTCACTGATTAGCACTGGTGCTGCAGCTCCCTCCTGCAGAAAGGGACATGGTTTCTCAAATCCACACGAGGAGAAACCCTGTTAGACGAAGGGCCTCATCCTGCCCCCAAGAATGAATTTATTGCCACCTTCAGTCAGAACAGTATGCGACCCTGACACACAAGCAAGGAGCCTAAAGCCAAGGAGACAAGCCAGGAACCTGCACTCCTGGTCCAGTCACTTCATCAGGAGACATCCTCCTCCTTGCAGAGGTAGCAAAGCCAAACCTAAAATGGTGAGACGTGTCTGCACACCACCTAAAATGGTGAGACGTGTCTTCACACCACTGCTTCAATACACTCCAGCTATGAGAGGCAGCCCCAGCCCTGGAGAGCTTGGGCCTTAATGCAAATGCTCTCTCAAAACTAATGCTTTTATGTGGAAGAGCTCAGTCCCAGCGGAGTCAGCAGCTTTGCCAGGAGGAGAGAGAATAGGTTTTGTGCTTTATTTCTTGGTCTTCTTGCCCTTGCCCTTGCCCTTGCCCTTCTTCTTCTTCTTCCTTTTTGACTTGAAGAGGACCCGGACCAAGTAGCCTCTCCAGAAGGCCTGGATGCAGGTGGCAGCACGGGTCATGGTGTTGAATTCCTTCAGTGCCTGCTCCTCCTTCTCCTGTTGGATCCTGCGCTCCTCCTCAATCTGGGAATACTCCTGGAGAAGCACAGCACGTTTCTCCATCAGCAGGGACAGCTGGGCCTTCTCCTCAGTGTAGGCAGCATGAACCTCCTCATACTCAGCCTAGCAAGACAGCAGATACCAGGTACAGCAATTTTGGGGGCATTCAGCAGCTCCTGCCTGTACATCCCTAGGTTCTTAAACCCATCCCGAATCCAGAAAGAACCACAACTGGGAGCTGCACTGAGCCTTTCCAAAGGGGCTCAGAAAGGAGGCACATGCCCAGCACTCAGGGACTTTCGCGAGGTCTTAATATCTTTGTACTCCTCTGAAAAATACTCTTATAATTCTCCCTGTGTTGCAGACAGCATCCACCCTCAGGTGGGAACTCAGACCAGGTAACACACATGCAGGTCAGAGACCCTCCTGCGGATGCTCTGGGCAAAAGGACATATTGCTGCAGTTTGGGTAAGGCAGAGCCTGAGCTAACAGCTTTGCTAAGAAGGCATTTAGATGAGCGGCACCAAAGCCCAGCTAATATGCTGTGCGCTGGTGGGAGCATGAGAAGAGCCAGACCACGTCAGCCTGGAAAAGGCCAAGGACAGGTAGTTTTAATGGTGTTACTGCACTTCCGAGTTCAGCAGCAGTTTACACCTTTCCTAACGCCTCTGAGGAAGCCACGCGGAGGTGGAAGATTAGGGGAACCAGCAGGGTGGATATGTGTTTGCCTTAGCGAGTTCTGCCCCTAACCTGCCATGATGTGGTGCTCCAGCCACCCAGCAGACAGCAAACCCCAATAATCACATTGTTTAACACCTGACAAGGGGGGTCCTTTCTTCCAATTAGCAGCCAGCTTCTAGCCCACTCCCTACATTTTGCTTTGTTAGTAATTCAGCAGCTTTTATTTATCTCCATAAATAGGGCAGGAACAGGAAAGCAACTAGGCAGTGGTACATAGGCTGTTCAGTCTCTTAGCACTTGAGAGACCTCTCTCACAGGGGCCAGCAGAAACAGGAGCATGATTTGGACACCAGATAGGGCCAACGGGACTGAGGACTGGAGCAAAAGTGAAAGCCCTATTCCCTAGCACCAGGTGGATGTGTTCAACAGAATGTGGCAACCCATCTGCTCCCAAATACTGTGGGATTTAGCAAAGGGTGTATCTTTTTCTAAAGTCAAAGCAGCAGAGAACTCCTGAACACATAGGCAGGACAAAGATACCTGTCCTTCTAAAGCCTGTGCTTCTCCTGGATGGAGAACTGCCCCTCACTTCCATGGTCTCCTGTGCAAAAGCCACGTGTCCGTTCAGACAGGCATTTATGTGAACATATCACCACAGGTGAGAGCAAAGCACTTTAAAGAGGATACCTGTTTTTCTCCCATGTGTGTGTCGTATTTCTGGATCCAGTTCCCAATTTCCATCTCCATTCTGCACTTCCTCTGAAACACAAAACAAGACATGTTCCTTGCAGGCACCTGAAGCCTTGTAAAAAGTAGCCTGAGTTAGAAAACTGTGTGGCTTTGAGCTCCGACATCATTATATTTGAGTGTAACACCCCCTCCTTGTGGCAAGCTTGCTTCAGCTGACACATATTTTGTTTGGCCTGGTTTGGGGATTCTCATGGGACATTCCCTGAGGCCAAAAGGGCCTTATTGGGTTTACAACGTGGAGCTGGGTGAGGGCTGAGGGTAGAAACACATCTGAAAGGTGCGTACCGCGGTAGGAAATGAACGCGTCTGATGGAATGTAGCAAGTCATCGACAAACTGGGGCAACCACCTTAAAACTGAAGCAATAAAGAATGGCTGAACATAAGAGTGGAACAGAAAGTACTCAAAAGATGGTGCCATTTAAACAAGGCTTATTTCTAGCCATAAAACAGTTTAACAGTGGCTATACTGCAGTATAACCAGCTATGGGCAGTTTACCCCAAGCTGCTGTAGCTGTGCTCCATGGAATCATCAGGAGAAAGATCAGCTAGAGGCCATCACAAGTGCCACATGATTTCCTGCATGACACTGACCCAGGATGTCCCAAGGGCTCCCAGGCCATCATGAGGTCAGATCTCAGCTATTTAGACCACAGGTACAATCTCGGGCCAGCCAGGGCTAGGGCACGTGCTAAGGAGAGGGAAAGGGGACCTCTGTGGTCAGTAAATCTGTCTCCCTGAGCACTAGAATGAGCTGAGAACTCATCAACAAATACTGCCGGGGCACGCAGCCTCAGGAGAAACTGCCTGACAAAGCCACTCCATTAAAGGAGGTGTAAACGGGTAGAAGTTGGATTTTGTACTGCGGCTCTAACTTGCATTTGATGCTTTGTCAGGGCCCACTGCCACTTCGCTCTGCATCGTCCAATGCAAGAGTGAGAGATGCCATCACCAGTGTGTGCTCTCCTGCCCGTGCGAGGACACTGCTTGTTTGGAAGTAAATAACAAGTAGGAGCAAAATGAGGTAGGAAAATGCTCTTTTCCCAGTTCTAGACTCCCTGTGCCCTGTGTCACCAGCATTCTCTGCTCAGGGCAGAACTGTTGATGCAGAGGCCTGAGCCTGCCTGCAGCTCCTGTTTTCTCCTTCTGTATCTTCTCAGCACTGTGAAAAATCACATTTCCCCCTCAGTCGACTCAACCCGACTCCTCGGCTCGTGTCTTCAGCAGAGTGCCAGACAGAGTAGAACTGCTTAGCTCCCGACATCAGCTGCCCTCAACCTTGAATCAATCAACTCTTAAAAGATGGCTTTATATAAAGCCAATATTATGTTTGCTCTGCTTACCCTACACCAAATCCCGTGTTTCTTAACATGTGCCTTGCCTTTCTTGCTGTGGCCTTGCTGCTCTGCATTCTGACCGGACCACGACCTCTCCAGCGCACAGTATCACAGCGCTGTGTAGAGGTGTTTTCAGAGCTAGGTCAGCAGGCAGGAGGAGGACCTGTGAGCGGGCTACTTCCCTGCTGTCGCTGCAGGGTTGCTTCCCACTGGAATCAGCAGAGCATGAGGACAGAGCAGGTACGCTCCGACAAACAGCGTGTGCATCCTGCCAGGAACTAGCAGGAACCAAGTAATTACTTGCCGCAGCCAGCAGCCAGACCTGACAGCACTACAAAAGGTTTTACATCTCCTGTTCTAGAGCTCTCCTCCTGTTTACCTTTCTGAGAGCCAGCTCTGATGCTCGATGCTCCAGTACAAGTGCATTGAGTTGTGCTCCTAGCTGGTCAATGTCCTGCTGGAGCCCAGCACACCTGGCCTGAGAGGCTTTCAGCTCCTCTTTCTGCTGTTTTTCCCCTTCCTGCTTGATCTGCTGGATGCTGGCCTTGCAATCTTTGGTCAGATCTTGCATGCTGGTTTTGAGGTCTTCGATCACATTGTCCTTCTTGTGAATCTAGACCCAGAAAACAAAAGAAATACCATTGAGAAATGCCGGTGAGGCGTAAGGTGGGCAGGAGAAGTAAGGCACCCTTGCAAAGGTGGAGGAGATCTAAGAAGACACCCTGCTGATCTGGTAGCAACAGGGACCTGCCGCTGCTGGCTCAGGGAACAGAGTTAGATTTACACAGGGTGCTTTGGAAACCTTCCCCCACTGCTTCTCTGTGAGCCTGTGAATAAAGGTAGAGAATGAACAAGCCATACCGAGACTCACTGGCACTGCCATCTGAAGAAGAGCCAAAATCAGAGCCACTGGAGCGAGCCCCGTGGCTCCCTCGAGCTTTGGATTATGCTCAGAGTGACTGTCTGGGGGACGCAGCAGGGGACGCAGCTCAGTGTGCTGCCTGCGAGAGAAATCCTCAGCTGGGACCAGTGAAACAGATTTATTCATGATGCCCTGGACAAGCTGCCAAATTGTGCATAAAAATCTCAAGTGTCTCAATTCACGGATCTCCAAGGAGCGGAGGGAGTGGGGAAAGCAGGCCCTTGTCTCCGTTAGCACCATTCAGCACAGCGAGCACATGACAAAACCTTCCCCTCCGACCCCTCTTGCAGGAGAGAAAGAAAAGCATACGTATAAAACAAAGGATTGCTTGTCAGGAGTTCAGGCGCTTGGATGCTGGCACAGCCACGGACTCACAGAAGGAGCCTGGGAAATGCCCATCGGTTTGGCTGTACCTCCATCGCCTTCACTGGGAAAATGAAGAATTCATATAATCACATATTAATCACAAATGCTCCGAAGCAGCTAGTATTACAGAGTTGGAAGTCACAGAAATGTTGATTTTAAGCAAGAGTGAAGAGGGAGCAGATATTAAAAATGGATTTTAATCAGAGCACTCTCTCCCTGGAATGACTTTTCATCATTTCATCAGCAGTGAATGAAGTCTCACACTGGCAGCTGACATTGTAGCCCTGCCAAAACACTACCGCAGCAATTTGTGCCTCTCCTGCAGCTCCTTTTTAAACTCAGTGACTTGTGTCATTCAAGTTGGCTGGTGCAAACAGGTTCAAAACATGCCGAATTCAAGTTTAAAAAGAATCGGGCATGGAATAAACATTTTTCATTATATTTTACAATGAAAATAGTATCTTTAAACTTAGGATTTGGTTTAGAAATCATTTCTGGAACTTCCTCTTCAGGAACTGCAAGAAAGATCATTTTTTAGCTTACCAAAGTTTTGCTTCAGTAACGCTTTGTTGGAAAACACATTCCCACAATATCATACCTCCTCCTCTCGAGTCCGGATTGCTGCTGCCAGTTCTGCCTGTAAAGCTGTGATTGCTTCAGTGTTTTTTTTAATCTGGAGGGAGATGTCTTCCACGAACCGAATCTTTTCTTCCTCTTCCACAGGACTAGTCAGGAGTCTCTCAAGCATGAAATTCCTGAACTCCCCAAAGGCTTTGATAAACACTTCAGCTGGTGACTCTCTTGCCCAGACTTCGTATTTCAGAGCCTGGCAAAGCGAAGGGTTGGCCAGTAAGAGTCTCAGTATGTTTCTAACAGAACATTTCAGATGTTGCTCTAGCAAGCAGAGACAGACCTGTTGTTCCTCAGCTCTCATGGTGTCCTCCTCTCCAGAGCTGGAAAGCAGGTGCTCCATTTCATGTGAAAGCTTTTGGTGCTCCATCAGGTTGTCCGTGATCTCAGGTCCCAGCATATTAGCAAACCTGTCCAGAGAGTCGATAATACGTGGGATCAAACTGCTCAGCTCCAGCTTGGCAATCGTCTCATCCAAGACAGTTATGATTCTTTCTGTCTCAATGCTATCAGGTTTTAACTGACGTGGATCTAACATCTTCATGGCATTTGATGTAATCGTTGCCTTCTGTGGAGTTGCCATGCCCTTTGCCGGGGGCTTGTCTCTTTGCTTCACGTCCTGAGATGATACTTGGAGCCCAGCTGGATCCCCTGTTGCCATGGCTTCAGTTAAACACTTGTGAGTTGAGTGCATTGAGGTCTAGAAAGAACATGACATCTCCTACGCAGGGCCAAGACTCAGTCAGAGAACATCTTTGCTGCGTCTGTCACATAGTCTTCTTTCTCGGATTTTATCTCTAGAAGGAAAATGTGGTGACAGCATTAGAGAAACAATGTGGTTTGGGAAAACATGGGAGTTTCAGATTACACTGGAGTTCTCCCTGGGTCTGAGCACAGGGTCAGGACATGGGGTCGTGCAGCAGAACTGGTCTCTATCCCAGAAAGGCTGTTGATCACCCCCGGGAAGGGAGGAGAGTAATGGACTCCTGGCTTTGAAGGGTGGTGGGGAGAAAGCTCCCATCTCCCCCTAAGGTGGAAGGCATGCATCGCAGCTCTGCAGTCCTTAGAGGTGTGTGGAGAGGGGCTCGTGGGTCCCTGGGGCCACCTCGGAGCGAAGGGGAGGGGTCCCGGCATGAAACACGCACCTCCATCCTTCCAGGCCTGGCACAGCCAGAGGGACGAGGTGGGAGAAGGGATCTCGGTGCCCAGAGGGGCTGTGCTGGCCAGGACAAGGGCAAGAGGAGGGGGCAGGAGGCAGCTGATGGGGAGAGCAGGGTCCCCTCCGTGCAGGTCAGGGGGCAGCGGGGTGCCGGGGGAACCCAGGGACCCCCAGCTGTGGGAGAGTCAGAAGTCAGGGAGGGGGGGTCCCCAGGGGAGAGGGGAACCCCGGGTGAGGG